CTAGATTTGACTCTAAGGGCCAAGTGCCTTTGGCCCACTTCACTGCTGGGCTCAGCCGTCGTGGGCTTCCGGAGAGAACTCTGTGGCCACCCAACCTTCATGTCCTGTTTGCCCGATACATTTCTATTGTTAGAGAATACAGAGGTATAATTGAAAACTACGTGGTTATTCTTATGTGTGTGCGTGTTTGCTTGGCATATGAACCCTTGCCTGCAGGGGTGTAGGGTCTGCTGGAGCTGGAGTTCCACATGTGGGTGCTGGGAAGGGAGCCAAGTCCTCTGTGAGAGCAACAATGCTCGTAAGCCCGAGTGTTTCTGCAGCCCGCTTTACCGATTCTGTCCTCCAGACGTGAAGGGTTCTGTAGGCTGGAAAGCAGAGGTGCCAATTAAAAGTCACACCTGGCTGGGCATGGGGGTACACACTGCACTCCCAGGACTGGGAAGGCAGAGGCAGGGGAACCTCAGGCTGAAGCAGTTTGTGCTACGTAGACAAAAGCCCTGTCTAGGCAATGGCAAACAAACCCCTAGACTTGAGGCAGACCTGGGCTGCCTGTGACCCAGGAATCTCATGGATCATTCTGAGCATCAGATCCTCATTTGGTTTTTTTTTTTTTTTTTTTGGTTTTTCGAGACAGGGTTTCTCTGTGGCTTTGGAGCCTGTCCTGGCACAGATCCTCATTTGAAAAATGAGGCTCCCACCTGGCTTCCTGACTTGTGAGGGGGGGGAGGGGGAGGGGTTAAAATAAGACCACGTGGATGGAAACCATTTGTTATGTATGGAGCCTGTCACGTACTTACTCTTGTCTTACTACGTCATAGGGCCAGAATCCAACATCCAGCACCCAAGTCTGGATTATGAAAAATTCTACTCTGATTCTCTAGATGGAGCAGGGGAAACACTGTCCCATGTAAACATCCTTAAAAGTACAGAGAAACAGTGGGGACTCATACCACCTGGTGCCGATCACGCAAACGCTCAGTGTAGGGTGAAACCTGGACGCTAGATTGCTCATGGCTAAGAGCAACTGCTGTTCCATGAGGGCCAGCCTCCAACTCTCAACATCACAACCAACTGCCTGTACTTCTGGCTTCATGGTGTCCAGCCCCCTCTTCTGTCACCTGCAGATACTGCACGCCTCCACACATAAAGGAATGGGGGCTGAGGAGAAGGTTCTGCAGTCCACACATGCTCATCAAGTAACAATTGCCTGTAACTCTTGCTCCAAAGGATCTGGTGCCTCTGGTCTCTGCTGGCAGGTGCTCATGCCAGCCCCTCTTCAGATAACTAAAAATGAAATAACTATTTAAAAAACAAAAAATAAACCAGGTGGGTGTGGCACACACCTTTAATCCCAGCACTTGAGAGGAAGAGGCAGGCGGATCTGTGAATTCGAGGCCAGCCTGGTCTACAGAGTGAGTTCCAGGACAGCCAGGGCTACACAGAGAAACCGTCTCGATAAAACAAAACAAAATAACAGCAAAAATCATGTGAAAAATATTGGGCTAGCGGTGCACCTGCCGAGGCCCTCAAATGGCTGTGTCGTGTGCAGGAGCGGTTTCCAGCCAGGACTGTGTGTCTACATAACCTGCGGACTTTATTCCTTTTTTCAAAAGTAGTGAGGTAACTTTATTTAGAGTGAAGTAGTCAAGATAGTATTGAGCAGTGGTTCTCAACCTTCCTAATGCCATGGCCCTTTCTCAACTTTAGTAAAGTGATCTCCAACCATAGAATTATTTCATTACTACTTCATAACTATAATTTTACTGCTGTTATAAATCATAATGTATTTACTACCAGCACTTGGGAGGCAGAGGCAGGAGGGTCTCTGTGAGTTCAAGGTCAGCCTGCTCTACAAAAGCTAGTTCCAGGACAGGCTCCAAAGCTCCTGAGAGACCCTATCTTGAAAAACAGAAACAAAAACCATAGGGAAACCCCTGTGGAAGGATCATTCGAAAGCCACAGGTTGATTGCTCTGGATTTTAGAGGTATGACAGTGAGCCACAAGACTTACAGTTCCCAGACACCCTGCCCCTTGTTGAGACAAGGTAGCCCAGGCTGGTCTTGAACTCCAGTAACAGAGGACGACCTTGGACTCCTGGTCCTCCCACCCTCCACCTCCCAAGGGCTGAGGCTCTAGCCCTGTGCCCCGTGCCTCATATGTAAATTTAAACTTTACATTTTTTTCAGCTTCACAACTGAGTTTTAAGTGTGAAATCCCACAAATGGGAGGCCATGGTTGTATCAGTAAAACATACACACACACACACACATACACAGACACACACACACAGACACACACACACTCCTTCTGAAGCTCAGAGGAGAACAAAGATACGTGCTGCGGAAGACATCTAAGCCACAGAGGAAACCTGCGCTGTTACTGTATTCCCCAGGTAAAGCAGAGGGGCTGGAGAAATGGTTCAGTGGTTAAGAGCCCTGACTGCTCTTCCAGAGGTCTTGAGTTCAATTCCCAGCAACCACATGGTGGCTCACAACCATCTGTAATAAGGTTTGGTGCCCTCTTCTGGCCTGTAGGCATACATGTACACAGGGAAAGCAGAGAAGCAGGTTCTAAGGGTGGCGTGAGGGACGCTCGGGCTGTGGGCTGCCCCGTGTGGGCACACTTCCACATCAGCCCTTTCACAGAAAGCCCTGGTCATGCAACACAACCAACCAACCCAACCTCAGCTAACTGAACGGCGCAAAATGGCTGTTTTTCCTGGCAAAGCATTTATTGAAGGTCCCATCAGAGTAAAGCATCCTTTGGGAGGCACGCAGCTACGCTGGCCCATGCGAGAGCGCCAACAATTTATAAGATTCCGATACAATATGAATTGTCACGCCACCTGCATCACAATCTTAAATATTTTAAAAAGTTAAAACAATGTATTAATGGACATTTAAAATGTCAATCCTCCTGACAACATAGGGGACAGCTAAGAACTTGACACCAGGAAGCCAGTCTCAAGGATCTGTTGACAGCTTGGTCTTCAAAAATAGAAGATTGTGGACTACATGACCCAGCCCGGGTCCAGGGACCTCATGGGTGACTGTCATACTAGGAGTCAAATCACCCTTTCCTATGGGAAGGTATAGTTCAAGATGGCAATTGTCATGTCGTCACTTATTCTGATTTATGAACTATATCAGAAATCCTTTAGACAAACTACCCTGAAATGCACAGCTTAGGTCTCATCTGCAGTTCTCCCTTAGTCCAGTAGATGGCAGTAGCACACCACCTTTTATCGCAAAAGGCTCACAGCTGTTCCAATTTCTCGAGTGGAACATAAACAGCAATGAGAATAAAGAAGAGCAATTCTGAGGGGTGTAAGGTTAAACTGGTGCTGGCTATAGAAGACAGAAAGATGAACGGAAGTGGGGTTCTAGGGCGAGATCAGTGAGATCCTAAGAATCATGGAAACACGTGCAGGAGGAAGGAAAGCTAGAATGCCCTGGTTTCTTCTCCACAGTGGCAAGGGAAGATAAGGCCTGCAACTCAAAGGGCATTTTAGCAGAAGGGGCAGACTCATTTAGCAAGCGACTAAAGAGAGTCTCACAGTTGTTCCTCTGAATCAAACATTAAGATCTGTCCAACTGCAAAGGCCAGTCATTGAGTGAGAACACTACAGGAACTACAGGTTCTCTGCCCAACTCCCCTCCCGGAGGCAGAGGCCACTCACCGAACTCCAGGACAGTGGGAGCGACTTTAAACAGCTAAGAGTAAGGCTGTGTTGGTTGCTTGGTTGGATGGTTTCTCTATGTAGTCCTGACTGTCCTGGAACTCACTTTGTAAGCCCAGGCTGACCTCGAGCTCAGAGCTCTGCTGTAAGGCTGTCTTACAGGGGCCTGCTAGGGCATGCACTAATGACTTGAAAAGTCGCTTGTCCGCTTAGCATCACTGTCTTTGTAGCGCACACTAAAATCCCTCCGTTGTTTTATTCCTATTTTTCAAGCTTTAAAAAGAGTTTATGTGCGTGAGTGTTTTGCTTGTATATATGTCTGTGTACCAGGTACAAGCATGGTGCCCTCAGAGGCCAGAGTGGCTCAGATTCCCTGGAACCGGGCAGCTTGTGTGGCTGGGAACTGAACAAGGGCCCCCGGCAAAGAGCAGCAAATGCTTTCAACCTCTGAGCCACTTCTCCAGCCCTAAAGTACAACCCAGGAAGAAACTCTTCAGCATCCTCCAGGCCTGTGTGAGTCCTACTTAAATGTGCAGACCCAGGGGTCAAACACATCCTAATAGAAACCACTGAGGCATCACAGGAGTAGAAATGACATTTGCCTGTTTTCTTTCTGGAAACCCTCTCACTCCGCTGCCCAGGCTAGTCTTGAACTCCTGCCTCCATCCCCCAGGAAGCTAGCTGGAACACATGGGGCCCTCTGTTCTCAGGGCCCCTCTCTAAGTCAATGCCCTGGGACAGAGCAGTTTTACAAATACGTTTTTCCAAAGGAGAAAAAGTGGACCGCTCTACAAGGCATCCTGAGGGTTTACCACAAGACGATCTTTGTAGAAAAAAATTTCTGGGAGGCACAATCAACGCAAAGAAATGAAGGTAACAGGGAAATACTTTCTCGGGAGAAAAAGGAAGAAAGCCCAAGGGTTTGGAACTCCAAGGACTAGCTACAGAGCTTCAGAGCAACTGGCCCAGGCTCACAGTGAGCGCTTAGGCCTAATTGTTTTTAGAACATAGGGTACTTTTATGCCACAGACAGCTGTGAGCTCAGTGGCATCTGTCACCTTGTGTCCCGACCTAGGCAGAAAATAGCAGCTTTAACCTACTCCCTCACTGACCTTCCACTAATCTGCAATATTATTTCTTTTTACAGCCCCCTCCCCTGCTACTGTGAAGACTGGACTGTATATAAACTCTCTCCTCCACTTCCGATCACGCAAAGAACACCTGGGCATGCAGCAGAGCCCAGGAGACACTGACCACCAGGCCCGCATACATCAGATCGCTGGGTGTGGACCCAAATTCTTCCACACACAGAAATATTTTATAATTCTCTCATCGTTTATTAAAGACAACAGCTCGGTTTCCTTTGAAGAGTAAGGAAGGCTAAGCAAAAAATAAGTCTTTGCGGCTAGATTGATGAGCTAAAAATAGGCTTAACATAGTGAACAGTGCACATATACAAGACAATAAACGATAACAAACATTTGCTGAATGGAACTGGAACTCTGGCTACTGAAACTTGAAAATGAAAACCCTGCGCTGCATGGGATCATCGGTACTGTGAGAACAGCCTTTGGGAAGAGCACCCAGCTCCACTGAGAAAAACCCTTCACCTTTTTAAAACAGAAAGATCACACCACCCTCTGGCTGACACCCTCACTGAAACGTCCTGTTTGTCACAGTGGCCCAGTGACGGGTGCTAAGTTCAGAGCTGTATTTTCCTAAGCAGTCTGACCAGGTTAGTATTTCTTGTGCACCTGAAAGAAGCCACAAACATTCACTGTCCCCTGAGGGTGGTCAGTGCATTGCCATGGCAACAGTCTTGAGGCCCAGTTTACACACCTGAGCACGAACCATTTGTCCAGTTTGGTCCTGGTCCACCCCATTCCCCACAGACCCCCTCCTGGGAGACCGCTCTGGTCACAAGGGTGAAAGTACAGTGATGTGGTGTCTTGGAGGGCAGGGGAGACAATGTCAGTCCTTTCAAAGGTTTCCACAGGCACAAATTCTGTACCTGGGGGAACCTCTTCCCAGACTCGGTTCTTACAACTGCATGCCAATTTTGTTGTAAAAAATTTACTAAAACTCCAGAGTAAATCTAATTTTAGAAAGAAAACTTAAAGATAATTCCATCTTTGTGCAACTAAAGCGCATGAAGAGAAAACAAAAGGTGTTTGAATTATGTAATCACCCAGGAACGAAACAGCTGCTGAGCTCTGTGTGGTTCTTAGAATCAGAAGCCAGCTCCTCAGAGTTCCACGAAGCACGGCACTGCTCGGTCACAGGCAGCATTTTAACCTGGGAGCTTCCATCCAGCTTTTGCTCGCATTACTGCTTGACTGGAAATGGATGTCCAGAGAGAAGGAGAAAGCAAACACTTAGGAAGGTTGACCGCCAATAATCCTATGCCCAGTCCTTAACTGGGCATGTGTGTGAAGGCCACAGCTGCGCCAGGACACGGAGAAAGACAGCTTTCCTGTCCACTGTTCCCACCTCCTACTCTCCGTCCAGTCCCCAGGAGGGGCTCACACTGCAGGATCTTCCACGTGGCCACGGGATTTTCTGTGGTTCAGAGGCTAGGCACTCTGAATAACAGCACTGAGGGACGAGTTAGTGCTCCCGAATTCTAGATCTACCCCAAATGGACCTCCTACTCCAAGGGAGAAGGCAACAGGCAAGGGATACTTTCTTACAGTATAGCTACTTGGCAGGAAGAGAAAGAACGGATCAGACCACGGGTCCTGGATTTAAGACCAAAGACTGTTTGACTTCTAAGCGCCAACTCCCGGTCTGCAGCAGCAGAGTCCTGTCCACGTGATGCTGGGTGCCAACACCCTTGAAGGTGCCTGGGCTCTTTCTGGCTAAAGTTTAGTGAAGCTTGTGCACGGGGTGGAGCAGGGTCATGTGTTCTGCCCCTTTGAAAGGCAGCTGTGCACTGGAATAATAGTGGACCACTTCAGGGACGCTGTCGAACACAGCGCTGGTCTGATTCAGCGTGTACTTGTTGTCTTTCGTCTGAGCCACTATGATGTGGACACACCCTTGACTGGTCCTAGAGGAGAAAAACAAGGAGACATGAATGAGTGAGCAGATAGTCTGTCCCCTCTGGAAACCGTCCCAGCCAGACTCACAATGGGCGCATGGGTCCTCTTCTTGTCCTGCAATTGTTCTACACACAGAGAGAAGCATTCAACAAGCTGATGGCGTGTTTGGAAGTTTCTAAGCCTAAAGCCATGGCATCCCAACTTGTTTATCACTATTACACACCAGCGGTCAGGACTGGAGGGAAAAGCTAAATAAAACTTTCTACTGCCCAAACTGTAAGACTCGTGAAGCCCAAGCCACTGTGCAGTTTATACCCAACTCCCTCCACTGCTAAAAAGACATGTGAGGTTACTTCTCCTTTATTTTCCCCCAAAGGAACACATTAATAATAACAACAACAATAACTGTCCACTGGCCCTGCCCCATGAGGAAAGACCAGTCCTAGTTGCACACCACGTCAGCTGGCCCTGAAGGCTCAGATTTAATCCCGAACACTGCTTTCGGGAGCACAGTGGCTGTTCCTGGTATTGTCTGCCTGGCCTACCCTGTTTTCTGAGCCAGATTGCTCTTGTGCCCCTCCCCCTCCCTTCCCTTCCAGTCTGATTGTTTCAGCTGCAGGGGCTCAGCTTCCTCAGGAAGGAAGTGCTGTTAGGGCTTCTGACAATGATCCTCCCATATAATGCCACTGAATTCACAGAGCAACGAGAATTCTGCCAAGCCCACCAGGCAAAAGTGAGTTTTCTGCACACAATTGGAGAGAGTGAGACAGGCAACTTAGCATTTCCTCTTTCACCAGAAGAGACAGCATCAAATGCAGCTGGCATCTTGACAACCAAGGATTCAATATTCATTGAGGTCCCTCGTACTAGGGAATAAGGAAAAATGGCCGAATCTGGGTGTGTTGGCACACGCCTGTGGTTCTCCCACTGGGGAGGGAGGAGGGGGTCACTACGTTAGAGAGAAACCTGGGCTACATGGGAGTACCAGGCATGGTGGCACACAGGGTTTAATCCCAGCACTCAGGAGGCAGAGGCAGGCGGATCTCTGAGTTTGAGGCCAGTCTAGTCTGCAAATTGAACTCCAGAGTTCCAGGTCAGCCAGGGCTACACAGAGAAACCCTGAAGAAAAAAAAAGGGGAAAGGGAAAGGTTGTGTGTGCATGTGTGTACCAGAGATATGGCTCAGTGGTTAACAGCTTTTGCAGAGGACCTGAGTTCAGTTCCAAGCACCCATATGAAAGCTCACAACTCTCTGTAACTCCAGTTCCAGGGGATCTGATGCCTTTTTCTGGACTCCACGGGTACCAGGCATGTATGTGCTATACATAAATACATGAAAGCAAATAGTCATTAACATAAAATTTTTTAAATCTTAAAAAAAACTATAGAAGAGGTTGAACTGCTCTGTCTTTTTAATTTTATTGACTGATTTTTTTTTTGCACTGCTATTGGACAAACTCAGGGCTTGTGTGTGCTAGGCAAGTACCCTCCCGCTGTGCTAGAGCCCCAACCCTAGATGCGACTCTTTCTTTCCTTCCTTCCTTCCTTCCTTCCTTCCTTCCTTCCTTTACATGCTATGGGTGTTTTGCCTATGTATGTATCTGTGCACCATGTGCACACCTGGTCCCTACAGAGTTCAGAGACAGCACTGGATTCCTGGGAACTGGAGGTACCAACAGTTGCTGGCTGCCATGTGGGTGCTGAGAATTGAACCCTAGTCCTCTGGAAGAGCAGCCAGTGCTCCTAGCCACTGAGCCATCTCTCCAGCCCTGGCAACATTTCTTGTTTTGTTTTGTTTTTTGAGACCGGGTTTCTCAGTGTATCCCTGACAGACCAGGCATTCTTTCTGTAGACCAGGCTGGCCTCGAACTCATAGAGATCCACCTGCCTCTGCCTCCTGATTGCTAAGATTAAAGGCGTGCGCCACCACCGCCCAGTTTCACTTTTTCTATCTTTTTTTAAATATTTATTTATTTATTATGTATACAATATTCTGTCTGTGTGTATGCCTGCAGGCCAGAAGAGGGCACCAGACCCCATTACAGATGGTTGTGAGCCACCATGTGGTTGCTGGGAATTGAACTCAGGACCTTTGGAAGAACAGGCAATGCTCTTAACCTCTGAGCTATCTCTCCAGCCCCCACTTTTTCTTTTAAATCAGGAATTATTTCTCTTCTAAGAGGCCTTAGATATGATAACGGAAGGTTGAAACTGGCTAACGTTCAACAATAAGGAAAACAGGACCACCACGACTGTAATAGACACGGGGTTTTTTATCGGGTGCCAATTCTGCGTTCTGAGCAGTGTTTCGCCATCTGCTGTCCAAGTAAATGCTTCACACCCAGTGACCCAGACTGCCCGTCTACCCTCAGGGAGCAGAGGCTCTTTACAGCACACCCCTGCCCTCAGACAGGAATGCCCGGGGCCGGGAGGACTTACTTCAGTGCGATGGAGTACCTGCTGGTGCCCGACTCACTGTTTCGGACCAGGTAACCAGCTTCTCTGCAGGGCTGTAGTCGGCTTTCAGCCTCAGCTCGGGTAATGGTGCCGTGATACCAACTGAACAGGGATACAAAAGAAAACAGTGTCACAGTGCAAACCCAGTGGGCCTGCACCCCTGTGAGCATCACTTACAGACCACTCCACTAAAGCACAATTCAACAGCCTCTGCTGCATATTCAGGACAGACACCACACAGATTCCAGTGGTCCCAGTCACAGAGCCTGTCAACCCTACACAGCAGTCCAGGAGGGTGGTGCCATTCGAAACAGTTCCCTCTAGGCCTGGAGGGCGGGCTCAGTGGCTCAGAGCACTGGCCGCGCTGCAGAGGACCTGGGCTCAGTTACCAGCATTCATGTGGTGGATCACAACTGCCCACAACTCCAGTTCCAGTTTCAATGTCCTCTTCTAGCCTTTTTGGGTATCAAAACACTCACAAAACAATCATTCATAATAAATAATTAAAACAAAATAAAGCAAACTTCCCCTTTGTGTGGAAGGAGGCGTGTGCAGAATTCTTAGGATACAGTAGCCCTTCCATCCTGAGCAAATGCACTGTGCTTAGAACCCCTACTGGACAAGAATTCATAAATGAAAGTGGTCACCCCAAATGGGGACCCTATGCAAGGCTGTGACAAAGTCACTAAGGGAGACTCACGGTTGCTTTTCCAGGGCCAGGCCCGGGTCCACCTTCTCCCTGTCGCAGTGGTCTGACAGAGTCGGCTTCAAGGTCTTCTGCCAGTGGTGGGGTCTGCCTGTGTCCTCTCTCCCAGGAGATCGATCGGATCCCTCAAACTGGACTGGAAGGAAGACGCCACTTAACACCAGAGACCATGGAGGCCAGCCATGCAACCCTCAAAGGGAAACACCTCATGCCTGCTTTAGCCCCCTCCTCAAAAGTCAGCTCCAGTGAGTAGCAGCATCTCTGGACAGCTGTTGAGGACTTCTGAGCACACTGCCAGCGTCTCTGAGGACCACTGTGCTTGAGGGCGCTCCACAGTTTGGGAACACAAGAGGAGATTCGTGTTTCAGCATGACTTTCATTCTAAAAGTGCTTACAAAAAGTTGTGTTTGTTTGTTTGTTTTTTAAAGACTAAATAGAAATTTTGAGCGTGACTGTAGAACACTCCCGCCTGAACAGGACATCTGTTTCTCGCCCTAGCCTCGAGGCTCAGGGATCTACACAGACGAGGGGCAGAAAGACTGTTACGGTCACGTGTGGTAGAGGGTTTTAACGAAACAAACAGTGTTTTGCAGACACAACAGGCCAGACACACATGAACTCACAGAGGCTGGGACAGCTCACACAGACCCACACAAGCCCAAGCCAGGGAGGGGGGGACGTGGGCACGGAGTCCCACCCCGCCCAGGCAGCTATTCACGAGGCTTAGCTGCTAGGACAGGGAAGGAGCTGTCTTCCACCACACTCGCCACAGACACCACGTCAGCCCAGGAACAGCTGGCCAACACAAATAGGACTCCATGTTTTTAGTGGCTTTCCCCCCTTACTTTTCTTTTCAGAGAGAAGTTGTGTGGGTGCAAAGGGGGTAAGAGCTGAGAGGAGTTGGAGGACAGCAGAGCACATGATAAAAATACACTGTATGAAATTCTCAGAGAATATTTCTTTTCCAAAGACTTAAACATACATTTAGTGAAATTATTTAGTGAGTCTATCTCTTTCTATAAAATCAGCGGCAACTTTCACTATGAAATTATAAGCAAAAGGATAAGACACTCAGACAGAGAAATCATGAACTGACACCGAGAGCTGCTGAGACGCCTAGGTGAGCAGAGAAGAGACCAAACAGAGCCGCTTCAGACAGGCTTTGCTTTTCTCTCTTCTTAGCTCTCACAGGGTGGCCTAGAACTTGCCATCTCTGGCTGCCGTATACGAAGTGCTGGGATTATCTGCACGCGCCACCACCAACCAATACACTATTTCCACTTCTAACTGGATTTACTGCTAATGGGAAAAATACCTTGAAAATTCTAAATCAAGGGCAAGACAAAGTCTGTGAAAGTCAAATGGAAACATTACGTCTTGAGATCAGCAGCTACAGACGGCTGTGAGCCTCCACGTGGGCACTGGGAACTGAACCCAGGTCCTCTGCAAGAGCAGGCAGTGCTCCTACCACTGAGCATCTCTCCAGCACAACCCCACCTATTCTTCTTACTGTTTTAAGTCTGCTTATCAACTTTCCCTTAAATTACTTAGAAACCCTCACACAAGCAAGGTTAGGTATCCCAGTGACTCGAGGGGCTGAGCCAGGAGTTTGAGGCTAGCCTGGGCTAACTAAATAGGAAATATTTTCTTGGCCCACATTTGAAGATGTGACTCTACCTTAAATCTAGGTTTTACTTTGGAATACCTTTCTAAAGGAACCAGTTTTAGCGGGGAATCGGGGCATATGACTCTAACACTTTCACTAAGGAAACTGAGGCAGGAAGAAAAACCAAATGACAACAAAAAGTCTAGTTTTCACTCGTGTTTGCAGCCCCAGCGGCTGGTCCACTAATCTCTCTCACCCAGGCCTGCCATTTCACAGTGAGCATCTCACAGGCCTGAAGAGTAAGCGAGGTCACGATCTAGAAAAGCCGTCTCCAGTTTGTTAGCTTTGGTGATGGTGGCCAAGAGGCTTTCCCAGCAGCCCTGGAAGGTGTCTCTGCAGCTACGCCAGCAAGAGAGGGGGAACGAGCAGTTTTAAGGGCACAATTGATCACACGGAGTATTGGACAGCGCAGACTAGCCTTGAACTCCTGGTTTTCCTGCTTCCCGAGTCCTGGGAATGCAGGCAGAACGTGTACCTCATCTGTAGCTAGACTTCTCCACCTCAAACGCCTTGTTAAAAAGGGGACTTGTGGAATGGCAAGATGGCTCAGGGGGTAAAGGTGGCTGCCACCAAGCCTGGCAACCTGGGTTCAATTCATGGGGCCTATATGGTAGAGGGAGAGAACCAACTCCACAAGCTGTCTTCTGGTCGACCATGTTAACCTCATTCTCACCAACAATCAGATGGAATCAAAATCACAGACACAGTGAGGAAACAAAGCAAAGGACTTGATGCAGCATCGAGAGTCATCTGCAATGGATCACCAGGGCAAACGCTCCTCTGCAAGTGGGCATGGGTGGCCAGCTCGCCCTTCCTCTGCTCTTCCTTTAGGGTCCAGTGACCAGTACTCTGCTCTGGAATTCCAAGGACCTTTTCAGAGTGTCCTCAGAGTGAACTCATGCTAGGTGATAGGTTTACTACCTACACTAACTAGCATTCAACAGACACGTGTACTGAGGGCTGTGTACATGTACTGAGGGCTGCGTACATGTACTGAGGGCTGTGTACATGTACTGAGGGCTGCACACATGTGCTGAGGGCTGCACACATGTGCTGAGGGCTGCACACATGTGCTGAGGGCTGCACACATGTGCTGAGGGCTGCACACATGTGCTGAGGGCTGCACACATGTGCTGAGGGCTGCACACATGTGCTGAGGGCTGCACACATGTGCTGAGGGCTGCACACATGTGCTGAGGGCTGCACACATGTGCTGAGGGCTGCACACATGTGCTGAGGCCTGCGTACATGTACTGAAGGGCGATACACATGTGCTAAAAGCCACATTTGTGCCCAATGAACCTGGACTATTGCTGTGTCAGCTCTGAAAGGCAGTAAGTGCTAGGAGGAGAAGGCCTTGAGTGGCAGATGCTGCACCCTCACCTGACAGGGCCCGTGCGATCTGCTCCCTCTTCCACTCCCAGGGCTGCTCATACTCGGCGGCAGGTCGATCATCCTCCTCTGGCAGCCTGCTGTCTGCTGGCCTTGCCTTCACTTCTGCCACCCGTTGGCCACCCTCTGAGGGCTCATAGGGGGTATCATAGAGCTGCGGCGGCTTCCCCAGCAGGTCCTTAGAGCTGCGTCTCTTGGCTGTGGCCTCCACCTTCATGCTCTCACCTGGCTCACATGGGCCATCAAGCAGCTGGAGGGCCTTCACCAGGGGGTCTTTGGAACCACGACGTCTGATTTCTGAAAATCAGGCAGACATGGACAGGTGTCACGAGGCCTGTGGGTAACCCACGGGTAACCTTGGCTAGGCAGTAGAATGCTCTAGATCTGTTCTGGTGTGGGCTGATTACTCTCTGGCCATGTTGCTGAAGCAAGAGGAGGCACAGAGCTTTCCTGACCACTGCACAAGATGCTTGCTGTGCCTACATGAACTCAGCTACCACACTGTCCTAGACAGGCTGCACAGCTCCTGAGAGGCAGGCTTAAGAAGAACACCTCTGGTGGTGGTGCACACCTTTAATCCCAGCACTCAGGAGGCAGAGGAAGAAAGAAGGAAGGAAGGAAGGAGGAAGAGAGGGGGAGAGGGAGAGGGAGAAGAAGAAGAGGAGGAGGGGAAGGGGGGAGGAGGAGTAAGAGGAGGAGGAGGGGGGGAAGCAGCAGCAGCAGCAGCAGCCTCTTAGCACAGACAAATGGACCAAGGCCAAGAAGAGGGTTGATACCTTCAGGCAGGAGCCTCCAGGTCCCCTGCCAGGGTAGTGAAGAAGAGTCCTCTAGGTAGGAGTTTCACTTCCTTGACCTAGTGTTCACTTTAAGTAAAGTTTACCTTCAGATCTTGTAACCCTTCTTGTTTGGAAGCCCAGACCAAAGAGAGCATTTGAAGGAAAACCAGCTGTTATGTCCTGAAACATTGCTCACAATACTCCAGGGAAGCTACCTGCCTTATTCAGGCTTGTGTTTGCTTCGAGACAGGGTTTCTCTGTATAGCCCTGGCTGGCCTGGAACTCGCTCTGTAGACCAGGCTGGCCTGGAACTCACTGCCTCTGCCTCCTGAGTGCTGGGATTTAAGGAGTGTGGCAACATGCCCCGCTTCTATCCACATTCTTAAGATACAGACACTTTTGGAGTAATAAGAGCCAGACACATTCACAAAGTAGACTGAAGGATAAATCTAAGTAAGAGTTGTTACGGCAGAAAACCAAATCATCTAGCACAGCCCAGCAGCAAACGCCGCTCTCAGTGCGATGCTCAGTCTGCGAGACAGACACGACGGCGTCCCCATGGTAAAGAGATCAGAAGCACAAGGAACCCGAGGAAGTGACCCAGACCAGTACGTGGCAGGGCCTGGAGTGGAAAGCAGGAAGCGGGGCGCTAGAAGCCTTACTCTCTGACACACATCTGGATGGACTCCAAGTGGAAGAAAAATGGAAGATGAGCTGACTCTGACGGCGAAGGTCACTTCCAGCGGAGGAAGCTGCATGAATGAAGATAGGGAGGTGGGAAACAGAAGGGGTGAGCTGCCATCCCAGGAAGCGGAGAGGAAAGTTTCAAAGGCAAAAGTCCAGAAAAAAGGAAGGGTTTGAGAGCTCTTAACTGGAGAAGGGTAAGACCCAGAGGAGCAAGCTGCGGGGGTTTCCTTAGTTTTGTTGTCCTCTTTTAAAAAAGATTTACTCACTCGGGAGGCAGAGGCAGGTGGATCTCTGTGAGTTCGAGACCAGCCTGGTCTACAAGAGCTAGTTCCAGGAGAGGCTCCAAAACCACAGAGAAACCCTGTCTCGAAAAACCAAAAAAAAAAAAAAAAGATTTACTTATTTATGTATACAAGTGCCTTGTCTGCGTGCATGCCTGCACACCAGAAGGGGGCGCTGAGTCGTGAGTCGCTATGTGGGTGTTGGAATTGAACATAGGACATCTGGAGAATAGTCATGCACTTTTATCCGCTGAGTCGTCTCTGCAGCTCTGTCATTTTTTTAAATAAAAAATTTCAAGATTTATCTTTAATTGCGTGTGTGTTTCCGCAGAAACCAGAGAATAGTGCCAGATCCCCTGGAGCTCCAACTACAGACAGTTCTGAGCCAACAGACTTGGGTTCTGGGAACCAGACTCTGGTACCTGCCAAAGCAGTAAGTGAGTCTCCTGCCCCATCTTTGCTGCTTTGTAAGACAGGGTGTCATGGAGGCCCGGCTAGCTTGGAGTTGCTATGATGGCCTTGAACTCCAGGGCTCTCCTGCCTCAGCCCCCAAATGCGAGATGTTTGGAACTCATCTGGAAGTGGGGTTTCTTCCAATAGCAAGAACACCAAGTTTGGATTGTGCTGTGTACAGTGAAAAACCATTTAAAAATCTTTTCTTGTCTACTTTTTTCTTCTTTTCTCTTTTGGTTTTTTGAGACAAGATCTCTCTGTGTAGCCCTGGCTGTGCTAGAACTCACTCTGTAGCCCAGGCTGACCTCTAACTCACAGAGATCCTCCTGTCTCTGCCTCCCAAGTGCTGGGATTAGAGGCGTGCACCATCATGCCTGGCCATTTAAAAATCTTAAAAGCCGGCAGTAATAATTCTATCTGTGAGTCACTTTGTGGTAACTCTAACAGCCTTGTATAGGATGAAGGAAGTGAGATCTGGCCTGAAGCAGCACACAGGAGTGCACAGATAAACCCAATAGATACTGACCAATCAACAGTTAAACAACTCGCCACCATAGGATAGAGTTGGCAGTGTCTGGCGACAGACCAACCTGGGCGCCGGGTCCTTACCAGATGGAATCTCTGAAGATTTGTACATATTACATTTACGCCTATCAGCATCTGTGGTCTTTTAGCCCACTGACCTCTAACCAGGCATCTCTTCCGTGGAAAAGCCTCTTGTGCCCAGCTGGCCCTCTGCTGGCCTCAGAGCTCACCAGCTGTCATGGTGCCCTGGTCCATTCTTACTACTGTGTACTTAGTTTTTAGACATACGTGTTTCCACTTTGGTAGAGATGGCTGGAGCAGGGGCCAGCACGCCTTGCTTATGCTGGCAGAACACATCACTGTGTGGTGATGATGGGATGGTGTTCAGGCAGAGGACACGTGACCTGCAAGTGTGCGTCAAGAAGACTGTTGCCGTGGACAGCTGTCGGTACTGCAAGGAATAAGGCAATGCTAGAGGAGAGGACGCTGACTGAGGGGATGGAGAGCACAAGGCAGAATCCTGCTCAGGGGTTCCAGGCGAGGTGACTGACAGAAGCAAGGAGGGGAGAGACAGTGAGGCAAGCAGAAAAAGGGTCGCAAGCCTGCGATGCTGTGGGAATGGACCTGAAAGGGTTCCCTACAAGTGGAAACAGACGGAATTCTGTTCCCTGGAGAGTCACCGGCTCAGTGAGAGCTCTGTAACAAAGAAAGGACAGCGGGTGGAGAAAGTTACTAAAAGGACACCACAAAATTAAAGACAGCAAACTTCAGCCGGGCTTGGAGACGCACGCCTTCAATCTCAGCACTCAGGAGACAGAGGCAGGCCGACCTCTGTGTCCGGGCACATTCTGAGTTCTAAACCAGTGATGTGTGTGTGTGTGTGTGTGTGTGTGTGTGTGTGATATGTGGTGTGTGACTGTGTGTGTGTGTGTGCGTGCATGGTATGTGTGTGGTATGTGGTGATTGTGTGTATGTGGTGTGTGTGTGTGTGTGTGTGTGAGTGGTGTGTATGTATGTATGTGGGTGGTGAGGTATATGAAGTGTGTATGTGTATGAGGTATGTGGTGTGTGATTGTGTGTGTGTGTGCATGGTGTGTGTATGTGGTATGTGGTGTGTGATTGTGTGTATGTGGTGTGTGGGGGGGTGAGTGGTGTGTACATATGCATATGGGTGGTGAGGTATGAGGTGTGTATGTGTGTGAGGTATGTGGCATGGGATTGTGTGTGTGTGTCTGTGTGTGTGGCGTGATGACTTATTTCAGGGTGAGGTTTTGGATCTGTGGAATTTAGGACCCTGTGCAGCAACCACCTCTGTGCCTCCAGTCCCATGCAAGTCTATGCCCACTGGAATTACCTGGGCAAACTGTAATTTATTTATCTGGTCCTCACCTTCACAGGACCTGACTTCACTGGTGGATGTAGCTTGCAAGCCAGATGGTGCAAAACTACTAGGATATTCTAATGAACAGCTAAACTTGAGCGTATCTCGCACCCACCTCCTCTGACTCTCTGGGGCTAGCCTCTCCCGGCACCATCCCCAAACAGAAGGACACATCCCAACACAAAGCTGTGAATACGGCTGGCAGGACTGACCCAGCTGTCTGAGGCTAGAGCTGTGTCTTTGTCTTAGACTCCTGACTTTCAACTCCACGACTTTTTCTTCATTGCCTATTTTAGATGTAGTTATGAAAAACAAGAAACAAAAACATATTCTGTTCTTGGTTCAGCTGAGATAAGGCTGGCATTTTTTTTTAAAAAAAAGAAAGATCTTTTCTCAAGGAAGCAGAACACACAAAGGAACCCAGGGGATGGATTTAGAATTTTTAGGTTTCTAATCGGAACTCATTCCTGCTCAGTTTAGATAGTGTTTCCCAAGATCCCAGCTTCAGGACTGGAGAGACATCTCAGTTGTTAGGAGTACTTGCAGTACTCTAACAGAAGACCCAGGTTCAGCTCCCAGCACTCTTATGGTGGCTCACAATCATTTGTAACTCTGTTTCCTAACACCTTCTTCTGGCCTCTTCAGGTACACACATGGTTCACTCACATACATACATACATACATACATACATACATACATACAAGCACTCATGCACATAGAATAGAATAAGAGAAAAAAAAATCCTTGCTTCAACTCTGCTCCAAGTGAGCTATATAAACCTAAGGAGGAAGACTGAGTCCATCTTAGGTAGAGGTCCTGAGTCCATCCTTAGGTAGAGATCCTGAGTCCATCTTAGGTAGAGATCCTGAGTCCATCTTAGGTAGAGATCCTGAGTCCATCTTAGGTAGAGATCTTGGATCCATCCTTAGGTAGAGATCTTGGATCCATCCTTAGGTAGAGATCCTGAGTCCATCTTAGGTAGAGATCTTGGATCCATCCTTAGGTAGAGATCCTGAGTCCATCTTAGGTAGAGGTCCTGAGTCCATCTTAGGTAGAGGTCCTGAGTCCATCTTAGGTAGAGGTCCTGAGTCCATCTTAGGTGGAGGTCCTGGATCCATCCTTAGGTAGAGATCCTGAGTCCATCTTAGGTAGAGATCTTGGATCCATCCTTAGGTAGAGATCCTGAGTCCATC